ATCTCATCATATGAGGCAATTTTCCTCAGATCGCGGGCCTAAGTTAGTTTTTCTTGTTTACGCTGTCTACGCCGCGTCGTCGAGCCAACATCACCGCTTGTACGATTTATTGAATCCCAATAATAGTATCTAACTTTATATATTTTGACGACACGATTGGCTCAGTTTGGAATGACCTACTTGCTGAGCCAGCGGTCGCGGGTTCGAGTCCCACTGGGGGCGATCATTTGTGTGACGAGCACGAATGTTTGTATTTCAGTCATGGGTGTTTATATTTCCTCCCCAATGTGCATTCACCTTGTCGTGGTGGGGGGCTCAGTAGTGCCCGGCAACCCAACCGGGCGCGAAGCCAAGAAACGCACAGGGAGGTGGCCCACTTCGGTGGTCGGTGGGAGGCGGCCCTCTTCAGAGGGCGGTGTACCATGTGGGTTGCTCCTGGTACTTCTCTGATAGCAGAGTGGACCTTGGAGCAACCCCATGGTTGTGGTGGTCTGTTTCGGCAGACCTACCGTCGGGCGTCGTAGTTGAATGCGTAAGCGATCCTGCGACGCCCCATTAAGACGGGGGAAGGTTTTGTTGGGTTTTAGTGGGTAGTACTGGCTTTATTACGCCGGTGAGTTCCACACGTCGTGCGTAAATGCATTTCCCAACGTTAAAAAAAATGGGTGTTTATATTTATAATATGTATGTATCTAAAGTTCTTCTACTATATGTAGTGTATCAACTATCTGGTATCCATAACACACGCCTCGTAGCTTACCATGGAACTAGATGGTGATGTGTGTTAATGTCCCAACATATTTATTTATTTAGCTTATTAATGTAATTTGTTTATGTAAGTTAACAATATAGTCCGTCCATTGTTTTCTTATGAATCCTTAATGACAGTCTCTCTGCCAACGATCCAAATGCAATTGTTCTATTACCTACAGCGAAATAAAAACCTGAAGACCTTTTATTGCACTTCATTCCAAAGCGTTCACGACCTACTCTTGCAGTTCATTATGGTTGTAATAGTAGCTTGGGAAATTCTCCAGACAAAAGACATTTCGAAAATTAAAATCCGTTGGATGTGGCCGAGTCTGTCACAGAGCGGGGATAACAGTATAACAACAAAACGAGTGTACACGTTTTTTATTTATTTATTTATTATTATTTTTTTTTATTTTTTTTAAGTTACTAAATTTTATTTCTCGTGTACATACATATAACGCGAAAACATGCAAAAAAATAAGAAAATTATTGAAAAATTTTAGAAATCTCATATGTAAGTATATTTCAAACAAAAAATATTCTAAAATTATTTAGCACACACAAAAATATTTATTAATATTTTTTATTATTTAGAGGTTATATCATTAAACCGGAATAAAACGTATGTTCTTAGAACGTCTTTGAATTCAGGTGATACAAAACCTAATTACTAAGACAGAAAGGTCGCATGACGACAAAAGCGCCGACTGGCAAAATGCCAATATTCGCAAAGTCAATAAAAGTTACAGAAAAAACATATTACATAATTTTGTCTCTTTATGTTTTATTTAAAACTAGCGAGTCAATAGCGACTTCGTCTCTAGCTTGAATTCCCATACAAACTTTTATCCCCATTTTCACCCCCTTAAGGGATAATTTCCGGGATAAAAAGTATCCTATGTCCTTCCCAGGGTCTTAAGCTATCTTCTTACCAAATTTAATCTAAATCGTACTTAGTAGATCCAGAGATTACCTCTACAACGTGACAAACTCACAAACTTTAGCTCTTTATAATATTACTAACAGCTCACCCTCGCTTCGCTCGGGTTCGTCCCTAGGTTGAGATCCCTTAAGGAATGATTTCCGAGATAAAAAGTTTCCTATGTCCTTCCCAGGGTCTCAAACTATCTTCTTACCAAATTTCATTTAAATCGGTTCAGTAGATCCAGAGAATACCCCTTACAACATCACAAACTCACAAACTACCTCTTTATAACATTAGTATAGATAGCAACACTAAAAACCTTACAATGTTAATTGATTAATTTTCATATAGACAAGTGTTTATTTAAACAGTATAATATTCTAATCCGCTAATTAGACTATTAATCATTTGACCATATGTCAAAAATATAATAATAATAATAATAATTAGAGATTTTTCTCTATTTACTTGTTTTTGTTCTCGGTTTTTCTCGCCCCGCGTTGCCCCCGTCCCCAGAATGCATTCTATGTCCTTACCATATTTTATCAAAATCTGATCAGTGGTTTAAGCGTAAAGAGGTAACAGTCAGACAGTTAGTTACATTCAAGTTTATGTTATTGTAAATATAATATGAATTATTTAAAATACGTTCGTTTCACAGTATTTTTATTCTGTGTACGGAAACTCCGGCAAGCTGTCAGTTACAATGACTCTTAAATTAAAATATGAATCTATTTTTTTTTAATTAAGAGGACTACTTGCACACTCATTATGGAGATGTTTCTTTAACCTGGGGGATATTTTACTTTACATTCAGATTCAGACAAAGGAAATATTCCATATTTTCATATTTCATTTCATTTTCATATTTCGTATCCGTAGTTTGTAGTTCTGTGCCAACGATCGCTGGTTCGAGTCCCGCTGGAGGTATTCATTTGTGTGATGTGATGAGCGCGAAAGTTTGTACTCCAGTCATGGGTGTTTATATTTATAATATGTATGTATTATATAAAGTTATATATGTGTAGTGTATCAACTATTTGATATCCATAACACAAGTTTTGCAGCTTACCATGGATCTAGATGGTGCTGTGTGTTAAAGACAAAAAAAAACGAAAGTAGTAATTAACGCACGTATTATCAACTTTTAATTGATTGTATGTTGCTTCTGTTTACTACTATTTAGTTCTTTTCTTTATATGAATCAACTGAAGAAGCAAAAGCGGCTAGCTCTCTGGTAACCCTGCAACGGATATTTCGTATAGATACTTGTATATGCACAACTTTTAGGACATTTACACCTATTTGAGTAGATATATAATTATAGTGAATTACTTCTCATTTACTCTTTTTCTTACATTTGCATATTTTGTACATGAAACTCATTGAAGCAAAAAATATTAAGTAAATCAAGATGAGGTTTGTTTGTAAGATGAAGCTTATTCAGTGATCAATAAAGCTCCATTAAACTCAATTCGCTGATATAAAAGAATGCCGACCCGCCGCGCTCTGAACCGGAAGAATCGATTTCTATCTCCTGAACTATTTCGCCCCTAAACTAAACGTGTTTGCTTTTGTGCACGGTTGCTGTTTTTATTTTGTCAATATTATATATATATATATATATATATATATATATATATATATATATATATATATATATATACATACATATACATTTATATAGTGCACTAATTTTTTAACTGTTAAAACTTTCTTAATGCAGTGTTCTAGAATGTGCAATGCGTTCTAACACATTTGTAACGCGTTCGCTTGAAAAAAACCTAGTGAAGCGGGTGTATACCTTGGTTCTTGTACTGCTGATAGCTTCATGTGTGAATCATTTTCAACATGATAACCATTTGCTGCATGATGAAGAAAAACACAATAAGCATCTGCATGTCTGAGAGAACCCAGTAAATTTACGAAAGATATGTCAGACAACCCGCACTTGGCCCGCTTGGTGAACTATGGCTTGATCCCATCGCAATATTCAAAAATGAGAGGGGTACCCCATGCAGTTGGACATTAAAAACTACTGAATTAGAGAATAATTTCTTGACTTACGCAAATATTTTTTATTTTAAATTTCTTTGTTTCATGGTCACGGAAAATTTTTGACGTGGCAAAAGTCATAGTTATTAGTACAGAAAGTGTTTACTCTCAAAATTATATAACGTGGCCGTGTTTTTAGTAAATCATTCGGAAGGTCAAGAGCAAAAAAAAATCGAAGCTACCTTTTTATTTAAAGTTTCTAACTGTTAATAACATGAAAGGAAGATTGTTGAGAACGATATCGATAATTTTATGTTATATTGCAATAATTTAAATTTTATTTTGGATAGAATAATCTCATCTAATCTAAGACAATATAGAAGACATACATATAGACACTTGAAACCCTTTGGTAGCTATTGTTTTGTCTGTCACTGAGTCATTAGTCGCTTCAGCTGTGCTCGTGTCTACTGTCTAGCGTCGAGATTTCCTTCCAGCCGCACAACATTACATATGTGCACGTTCGTCCACGTTTTCTATTTTTTAATCTAGTCTCTATTCTCAAAGCAATAAGTATTTGGGTTTACTTAACTATGCTGTCTATTTTGTTCCCTGAGAATGATGGCGCCCATTTTCACTTCTATTCTTCCGACTCATTTTACTTTTGGACAGTTTCATATTGCAAATTATTTCGCTGTGTTTAAGGCAATACAAAGATTTACACAGAACAAATAAGAGTTTCGGGTAACACTCGCCCATAATAATAAGAGGTGATTAAGTCCGTAAGTCGTGAAGGATATATAATTTAAAAAGTATTCCTGTATCATTATTTTATCCGATTGGTATGAATCGTTGGTAAGTCTTGCCTGAGATTTTTTTTTATATAGTACCATGAACGTAAATATGATGGCGGTGGTGCGTGAATCCTATTAGATTATTTAAGCTCTGGTTGCTAGTATAAAATATTTGTAAATATTTCAACATACTATTTTCAAATAAAGAACACAAGTAACCTAGCAAGCGCAACAAGCGAAAATTGTGAAAACTTTTCTAAATCTCATCTCTATATGTTTACTATTGTGACGGAGTGCGGAAATATGGATATGTTTCCTGATATTTCTATACCGCCCCTAAGTTATTTTATTGTGCTACTGCTATGAAGACACTGCAGTTATAGGTATATTATTTTTAGTATCGTCAAAGTATCGAAAGTAATAAATAGAGAGTTGAAGTCGTTTATTATTATTTTTTTATTTGTCTAAACGTCGGCAATATATCAAATCGTATCAGTCTTGATATCGTAAAGTAGCTTCGATGACCCCAATAAATGACTATGAAAGCGAAGAGGTTACGTAAGCTTGGCATTGCCATCAAGTATTCACCCATGAATTCTATCAAGCGGGCACCCTTCAACACGCTATCGGAATTCGGAAACCTAGAAAGGTTTGACAAGACCATTATGCGAATCCATCCCCTACGCAGGGTTACGCATGCGCCCCCGGCGCCGCGCCGCCCGCAGTTACTTCGGAACACGTCACTAGAGAACACGCTAACATATCTTACCCTGCCGCAGTTGACGCAGTGACGTTCGATAACTTATCGACAATTGAAACGTGTTGGTGTTGTGTTACGAGTGACAAAAGCTGAACTGAATGGATTACTGAACGAGTTCCCATGTGATGTAAGTTACGAGCTGTCTATATCTCATATTATGACCAATGTTATGTAAAGTTTTTCAATTACATGTGCAAGTGACAGGTTGACGTCAGGCTACTTTTTTATTTTGGGGACAATCTCGTCCAGAATTTCAAGGCCACATTTGAATATGCGATTTTTCGCATTTCGTTACGATTTTTTGTAATATCAATATTGTTTTTTTAACATGCTTTTTTATAAATGTAATTGGAATTTCATCTACTTTAAGTAGCAATTACACACAGGAGGAGTTATTTAAGAATTACATAGTAAATTTTATAACATCGATTCGAGTACGGCTTTATGGCTCATATCATGACGTAAATTAAAATCCGTTTGGAATATTTTTATATAATAAAATAACAATAATATATAATTATTTCTTCTATTTAATAATGGTTGCTAAAATATCAAGCTATGTTTTATAAGAGTAGTTTTTTATAAGCTATAAGATATTCGACTTTTCATGACCTTCAGAAATTGCGACAAAATCGTAATCCGTTATATGTGTAGGCCTTGAACTCGATTTGCCGTACATGTATCTCATACATAAGTAAGTTTTATTTTGAAAGAAACCGAGACGTTTTCTTAGGCGGAGTAATTACATCAGGCGGCTTTGTTTCGTTGATTAGATTTATCATACTGCCAACTCTTTGAACCTTTTGAAAATGGAAAAAAATCATAATCTGGTTGATTTATTACGTTTTCACAGATTAAATTTGTTATGAATATCGTAACAAATTTAATCTTTTCAAAAATTGGTATCTGTAGTTGCTTTTCCATTCTATTACATCGAGTTAGTATGTTTTACGATATATGATAAAGTTTTTTCCTGTATTTAAAAAACAAAACGCCCAGATGAAAACGACGCAAGGGCTGATTTTGACAACCTATTTCATTGGTGACATAAATAACTTATATAAAAGGATGTTTTATAAATTCAAAGCTTACGCAAGTGTTTTTGTAACTGAATACAAAAGACGTAGCTTAATAAGTTGAAAGATGACTATAGTTGTACTGAGTTTCCACAATTTCTTTTCAAGATTGGCATTTTGTACTAATACTTCTTTCTATAGAATAATATGGCACTTTAAGACTTTGAAATGGAGTAGAAACTCACATAATGCCACCGTTACACAATCTTGGAAAGCCATAAACTAACGTAGCAATAAACATACATAGGTTTTAGTTGTGAAAAAGTTTACGTTTAGTTTGTTTATATAAGTTTGCTCAACGAAGATTATTTGCATCTCTTCTACTGTACGCTACAAAAGATTGTTGTTTACGTGCCCTGGATGCTCACACGATGAAATATTAAAATTCGATATGACATGATGCATTTTAATCGTACAAATGGCTTTCTGAATTTATATAACTATGTCCTAGCTGCACGAAGTTGTAATATTGTTAATACAAATTCATACTTCACTACTAGCAAAAAGTTATCCAATCGAGTTATTTTAATTTCAATTTAAATGTAATCTAGCGACTCACCCTCGCTTCGCTCGGGTTCGTCCTTAGGTACGTTTTAATTAGTATGCAATATAAATCTTTGAATTTCTCGGCTTTTCAGTACTAAAATATGCATGTATTATACATATAAACCTTCCTCTTGAATCACTCTATCTATTGCTGAAAACTGCATTAAAATCCGTTGAGTAGTTTAAAAGACCTAAGCGACCAGACCGCGGAAGCGCCTTTATTTTATACTATGTAAAGATATATTCTAAATCTAGAAAAAAACTAGAAGTTAATATAAAACATAAATTAGTTTTCCTTATGGATTATTATTTGGTAACTGCCTCGGTGGTGTAGTGGCTAGCATGTACGGCTGCATACCCGGAGGTCCTGGGTTCGAGTCCCGGGTCGGGCCAAGTTTAGTTATTGAGTCTTTCTGTATAGTAAGTCTCAGTAACAGCCCGAAGTTGGGAAGTTGGCGGTGTTTCACCCCCGTGCCTCGGAGAGCACGTAAAGCCGTCGGTCCTGCGCCTTAACTCTCACTGGTCGTGTCGAGAAGTCGTCCCACCGGAGTACGAGAGTGACAAGAATAGAGAGTGCACTTGTGTCTGCGCGTACACTAGAGCACTATAATATCTCCTGTGCAGTTGGCTAGTCTCGATGAGATTGGTCGCCGTGGCCGGAATCGGCTAGGAAAACATCATCATCATTATTTGGTAGGGAAAAAGATGTAGTGTCTAAGATGATGATTGTAGTGAAAATCTAGCTACTGCTTGCAGTTTTTTTTTAAATATATATTTGTACTAAACATACGATATATTGTTTTCCTTTCATCTACTTGATATAGCTCTAAACACTGATTGACTGAGAGGCAATACACGGCCTCAACAGGTTAGATAGAATCATGAAATTTTCTTTTTTTGAATTAAAAAATTAGTACAGGAATTAAGAAACTCCTCCCAATATCTCCAATTTCTTTTAATTCGTCTCCTTAATTAAAATAGGGTACGAAAGTTTTGAGTAGACGTTTGATATTATTGAAGTTGTGTTGATGGGAAATTCTATAGGATTTGTCTGCCGACAGTGTAATTCAGGAGATACTCGTAGGTACCTATAAGTAATGTTTTTTGAATAGAATTAGTTTTTGTCCTTTGAACTTTTAAAGTGACAAGGACTTCTTTTTAACTCGATACATTGACTTTTTGATCAACAATTTTGGTAGCTTATTCGTTTGTTGCAAGAAACTAAGGCGTACACCTGAGCGGAGCGAGGCCGGGTCGATAGTACTTTGTATTTACGCTCGACACCGTTGTACTTACCGTAATCCGTAATCTTATCAATGGAAATTATTATATTCGTAGATATTTTGTATCTATACATATATTCAAATTCTGAGTCGAATCTGTACATTAAATATTTTTTGCAAAATGTTATTGAAATAGTTTATTAGAAATAGATTTTTGTCCGTCTGTCTTCCGGAACACCACCGGAGAACCACTAGACAGATTTTGATGAAATTCGTTATGATAATAGCTGGTTATCCGGGTCAACATATAGGATACTTTTTACTGCGGGAAAATATCTCATCTCTGAGAAATCTATACTAACCATTAAAACGTATCTAGGGACGAACCCGAGCGGATCGAGGGTGACTCCCTAGTAATTAATAAAATTCATATTATATTGATAAAATAACACATGATGTACTTTTTTCAAATACATATAATAAATAAAAAATCTATATAGATTCACAAGGACATAATAAATTAAATTAAGTGGGAATGATTCGACGGTGACTCATAACCTAGTGTACATAGGGGGGCACCCCAATATGAATCGAATAGTGAGGGGTGGATCTTTGAGGGTTTAGGACACTGCGGCCGGTAAATGCTGTGGTAATATGAGTGGATTGTTCATCTTATATTATTTATTTCGAAGAAAAAAGTGTGAGGATGTTCGAATAAGAATTCACAATAAATAAATGCATTTCGATTTTTTTTATAAGCTTTTAGTTTTCGCCACTTATATCTATCTTCTTTTTAACTAGTATAAAGTATGTTTTGGATGCTGCATTTTTGAGTATAGGTTACATACATATGTTCAACCATTTTAATCAAACACGATATCAAGTTGTAACTTAAGTTCTACTAACAATTGCCAGTCACACTTGCACTGCGTATCAGTGGTGAAAAATTACATGATATATTCAATTTTTTTTTCTATGTTTTTTCTATTTTTTATTAATTTTGTTCTTATTCATTCAAATTTCAAACAGTGATTGCTTTTATATATGTTGCTTTAATAAGACATTTCATATCAAACTCAAGTTATAGGAGAAATATAGGGCAATGCAATTTAAGCGGTACGTGAGTTTCGTCGCAAAGAGGGCTTTCATAATTCAATAATTTATTGTATAGGGCCAGAAACAAAGTGTAACAAAGCAATTTTTGGATTCGTAAAATATTATAGAAGTACATTTTCATTTCACAAAAAATTTGATACCTAATGTGGAATGTGAAATCTGTATCTGTTAATATATGTACCTCACATATTGTTTACATTTATAAGACAATGTTATAATTTTAAATAAACCCATCTTTTCGGATTATTTCGCTGATTTATTTTCATTATTAGTTCCCGACGTTTCAAATGCTTTAAATCAATCATCAAAGTCTGTAACAATTATATAATGCTTTTAAGATGTCTAAAACCTCTCCAGTGCCTGATTACTGTAAATTAATGTAAAAGCGTTCGAAACAAAACAAATAAAATAAATCGGCTAAATAATACGAAAAGATAATTTTATTTAAAATGTCAAATATTCGTGTAAATCTAAGAAAGTATTATAAAATTTAATAAATTTTGATTTCATATTTAGTAACTCGTCAAAGATAGTACTCGTAGATACGTGTGTAAATATTTCACCATTTTATTTTTATGTATAAGGAAAACGGAGGAGGGAACAGCTGATATACACAAGAGTTTATTTAAAATTCCTAAGAGAAACATTTCACGCGAGTGTCTATTGGAAGTAGGAGATACCGGTTGACCTAGAAAGCAGGAAATTTGCATATCAGTAATACGGCTATAGATTGCAGCCTGGCAGCGGGCTTGCTGAGCTATGTATATAATAAACATATAATCAAGCTTAAGCTTGAGTATTACGAGTATCTTTTAGAATCGAGCCCACAAATATATAATCAATTCGTCGTCTCAGTGCTTATTTGTACAAACGACCAATTTACAAAAAATTTAATGGTATTACATGGGCATTTTACTTCAATAAAGTCGAAAATGTATGTATATTTTATCTATATACTCGTATGTTTATAAATCTTTGAAATAAAGCTATGTTTTTGAAATGGAAGAAAAAAACTCTTAATTCTTTTTTTTAACCGAGTTCAAAAAGGAGGAGGTTCTCAATTCGAT